TTGGGAGTCATCCTGTGGGGAATGTAGGGGCTCTGTGAGAGCCAAGTGTCCTTAGCCACTGAGCCCTCTCCTGCAGCATAAGCCACCTTTTGAGAACTGCCCCATTACCTGGGTGAGGTTCAGATTTGTCCACCTCAGAGTCCTGAAGCAGGTCAGCAGGAAAGGTATTACTGGTACCAACCTGCACTGGAGTGTCTTGATCCAACACATCCTGTCAGCGCCTTATCGGATAAAGTCAAGTTGAGGCAGGGGCACTAGAAAGTCATTTCCAATGGAATTCCAATGCAGAACCCACTCCAGGCTAATGACACCATCTCTGTTGGTGGTGCCGTTGAATGTAACCCTGGTTGACCTGGAACTCACTCTGTAGCACAGGCTACCCTAGAACTCTTGTCAATCTTGTCTTAGCCTCCTGGAATGCTGAGTTTAGAGGCACCAGATTCTATCCATTAACACACTGTGAGGGAAATAATTCTGTGACCAATTCTGCACACAACCAAAGAAATAGATGAGCCTGCCAGGCGGTGGGGACATATGCCTTTAATCCCAGCACTTGGGAGGCAGAGGCAGGTAAACTAGTTAGAGGCTAGCCTGGTCTACAGCATGAGTTCCAGGACAGTCTACAAAGCTACACAGAGAAACCCTGTCTCAAAAAGCCAAAAAGAGAAGGAGGAGGAAAAGAAATAGATGAGCCTTCCTACTATACCCAACCAAGGCAGGAGAAAAGCGGGGCCAACAGGCTTTTCCTAATTGACTTTTAGTTACAGCTAGGACACTGCTTTCTTCCGTGCTGCCCCGTGTCACCAATGTCAGTGTGGGAAGCTGCTGAGGGACCAGTATCAGGCAAGTTAGATGATTCTATTCCAACTGGCTAAGGCTGATGGACTTATCCCAAAGAACTTTTGACCAGAAGAGATCAGGGAATATTTGTCATGAATAATAGAGAGTAGCCAGGCGGTGGTGGTGCATGCCTTTAATCGCAGAGCTCAGGAGGCAGAGGCAGGCGGACCTCGGTGAGTTCCAGGCCAGCCTGGTCTACAGAGCGATTTTCAGGACAGACAGAATTGTTACACAGAGAAACCCTGTTTCAAAAAAGCAAAAACAAAAAACAACAAAAGACACAAGATACTAAACAAACCAAGTCCAGGAGAGAGAAAAAACACCATTTTAGAAACTCTACTCCCAAATCTCAAGCAAAGCTCTGGAAGAACCCACTGCCCAAAAGCCCAAAGTAGGTTCATTTGTTGAGCCACCAGTTAGGTCCTCTTTGAGGGGTGTTGCCAAACCTGACCAGGGCCTCGTGTACCCTACAGCAGAGCTCCTAGGTCCCATTAACCAATAAGTCCCATAAACAACTGATCCCACTCAAACTGAGACAAAAGTTTCAACATCAAATGTTGAGCTGAGCTGGGTGGTGGTATATCACCTTTAATCCCAGGCAGGGGCAGGTAGATGTGAGTCCCAGACCAGCGTGGTCTGTAAATTCCAGGACAGCCGGGGCTACACAACACAGAGAAAGCCAGTCTCAAAAAGATAAATAAAAATAAGCTAAAACATGTTGTTCTGTGTGTATACACAGCGCAACGCATTAAATCCAGGGCCCCCATGCTGGCTGGGAACTACATCCTCTACATTTGACTCCTCAGAGTCTTTCCTTCTATTCACTCAAGGGAACTTCAGCATCTCCAGCTCCCACAAAGCAAACTCTATAGACAGAGCCGGATGGTGGTGGCGCATACCTTTAATCCCAGCACTTGGGAGGCAGAGGCAGGTGGATCCCTGTGAGTTCGAGGCCAGCCTGGTCTACAAGAGCTAGTTCTAGGACAGGTTCCAAAGCTACAGAGAAACCCTGTCCTTAAAAACCAAATAAATAAATAAATACGCTATAGCCAGAGCAAGAGAGCTTGGGGCATGGCCTTCTTTGTAGAATGTCAGCCCTGGGCCCGGATCCTCTTGCATCAGACTACCACCCTACAGACAATGGATTCTAATTAAACTTAGGGCTTTCCTCAACTTATCGAGAATGAGCAATTAGTCCACTAACCTAAAAATATGAATAAAGGTGCAACCATATCCACTTCTCAGCTGGAAGGGTGCTTCAGAAAACTAACTCAAAACAGCAACAAGAATGCGTGTCCCCAGCCAGAGGCAGACTTCCAAACACCTGTGCTGTGCTGCTATCCTTCCGCAGGGCAGTGGTCCAGAGATGGTGACAGGTGCTAAAGTAGAAATGTCCCCTACTAAGAGGTAGTCACTACCAGGGAAGTGACTAGATCTCTCACAGCCCCATCATCTATAAAGGAGCACCCCATGGGATTCACAAAGTCCCACTTGCAAAGGACGTGACAAACAGACCTACTCTGAATTACAAGTATTGAGGAAGGCAATGGATGGAGGTTAGGGAGGAGAGGAAAAGAAGTCAGGCAAGCCCATCCTGGTAAGTATACACCTGAGGCCAGGCCTGGTGACACATGCCAGCACTTGGGGGCAAAGGAAGCAATGCTGTGTTTGAAACAGATTATGTAACAAAAAAGGCTCTCTATTATTTCTTAAGGAAAAAAGAAAAAAAAATCCACCAGGTCTGAGAATGCCCCTTGTACCACAGTAAAGGACCCGGGGAAACTTTAGATTTAGCAAGGGCTATCTCAGAAATGCTTACCCGGAATTGACATGAAGTTGGTCTGGGACAAAGAAATGCCAGGGGACATTGCCCTGGATGGAGTGTTTGTCCAAATGTCCACTGAAATCGGGTGCCTCGGGCTGCAATAATGAGGGGTGACAGGCGTCTCCGGGTCACAGGCACCACATGGCTGGAGGAAGGGCAGGCCGAGAAGCAGCCTCCCCAGCCCCACCTCCCTTCCTCCTCCCTCAGCCCCCTGCAGCTCCCAGATCCTCTTCTCCCCTCCCCCAACCTTTGTAGGGGTAAGGGTTTTGCCTATGGCTTTAAAGAGGATGTGGCTGGCCTCAGCAGCCCCTTTGTCTTGGCTCTCTCCACCCCGACAGGAAAGGTGAAGGATTTTGCTTAGCTTTACAATTACACCTTCAGTTAGCCTTACGCTTGGAGGGGGAAGGAGCAAAAAGTAGCCCCAGCCATAAAAACACAGCCCTTTTTCAAAGGGAACAAAGAGGGCTGGTGATGGAGAAGGCTCTGCAGGTAAAGGTACTTGCAGCCAAGGCTCACTCTCCAGATCCACATGGTGGAGTGTACTACTCAAAGTTTTCCTGACCTTCACAATGGAGCCACATTCGTGTACACACATATAAAATAAAGTATAATAATTTTTTTAAAGGAAACAAAGACAGCCCTTCCTGCCAACTCCCCAGTCACAGACAATGATGGTTTAGAGACGCTCCCATAACCAAGAATGAAACAGTACCTCAGGAAGGCAGGAAAAGGAGGGGGCTGGCAAAGGTGACTCTCCATTCTGCTCTCAGAACAGGCTACCTCGACAGTCACGTGCTGGGGCCTACTCTAGGTGCCACTAAGTGTTCCTCCCCACCACCTTAAAGATGGGAGGATTTTAGAGCTGAACCCGGCTTCATCCCTGATCCGATTGCACGGATGTAACAACTAAGACACTGGGCTAGAACTCAATAATACCATCTAAACACAAACCCAAGCCACACTTGCCTGAGAAGGTCAGCCCGTGCTGGAAAGTAGTGAGGCCAACTGCACAAACACAAATGCTTGCTGCACTACCAACCCTACAAATTTTTACCTTGAAGGTGGGAGATGCAACCCAGTAGTAGATGGCTTGCCTGAAATAAAGGTTCTAGATTAGGTCTCAAAGCACCTTTTTTTTGGGGGGGGGGAGAAGGGGCGGATAAAATTCCCAAATCTGGAAAGGCTAAGTTTCTACCTGAGGTTTCCAAGGACCAGCACACAAGCCTTAACAGGCCTAAGGGACACAGGAGGGTCAGTGTCGCCAGTCCAAAACCCACAACATTCACAAGTCAGGAAGCACTCACTCTACAGGGCCCTTAATTCCTTTTCATTCATATGCCTCAGACTGCAAAGCGGGAATCACGGACTCCGTGCTGCAAGCCTCAAGGACATAAAGGGGGTTGCAGGCTAGAGGCAGAGGTATGTGGAGACCACAGGACTGCAGCCACAGGTGGATAGAGCAAGACATGCTGCGCCTCTGGGTAGTCCATCCTTGTGACCGCAGGTCTCCGTTTTCCCGATTGAACCTTCTAGCCTGGAAGAACTCCACAGGCGTCCTTAAGCAATCCCCGAAGTAAGCACAGACGCTTGCACGCTGGTAAGTGAAGGCAGGTTTCTTTTGTTTTATTTTGGTTTTGATTTGTTTAATTAAGGTCTCGGTGTAGGGATTGGGAAGTGGGGCCACCTCACCCCGGAAGAAAGTTAAGAATGGAAAGTGAGCCCCTAGGGCAGCCGGCGTGGTGAGGCACCGCCCCCAGCTCCTCCCTGGCCAGGTGTGCTCAGGCGGCCCCTCCCAGCCGCCGGCTGCACCTCAACTCAGGTGGCTCCGCTCCGGAGGACCCCGGGGACAACGCCCATCTCGCATCCCCACTGGCCGGTACCCAGAGCACCATCCCAACCTGGGGGTGTCCATCACGCCAAGTTCCAAGTCAGACGGGATCCACATACACCGCTACCTTGACGAGATAGCTTCTTCCTCTACATCCGGACCATCCCTCCCTGAGGAGGCTCCGGGTGAGCCGGGGCCAGGTAAGGACACAGGGTCTCGGGGACAGCCACCCGTCGAGCCCCATTCCGCTCCCAAGTGCCCTCAACTCGAGATTCCAGAGAAGCGACACATCTCCTTCCCTCAACTCCTTAAAGAATCGGGTGCAGCGGAGGCGTCGCTTCCTCTGCCCCCATGCCTGGTACCCGTGTCCCAGTCCCGCTAAGCACCACGCGCCCCATTCCCTCCGGTTCCCCGCAAACCTGCAGGCACCTCTAGGGGACCTGTCGCCCCGGCACCCACCCAACCCCAGACTCCAGCTTCCGGTCCCCTGGAGCGCGGGGCGCTCACCTGCCGCGAGGCTTGCTGTGGCGCGGCGCCGTGGTCGCGCCGCGGGTCGTGGCCA